ATTATGGAGGTGCCTCAAAAAACTAAGAATTGACCTACCACATGATCCAGCAATCCCTCTACTGGGTATTTACCCCAAAGGCTTGAAAACTCATATCTGAAAAGATATTTGCATACCAAACCAATGTTCAGCATTATTCACAGTGGCCCAGACATGGAAGCAACCAAAGTGTCCTACAATAGATGACTGGCTAAAGAAGCTGTGGTACATATATACAATGGAATATTACTCAGCTATAAGAAGAGGTGAAATATTGCCATTTGCGACAACATGGATGGACCTCGAGATGATCATGCTAAGCGAAATAAGCCCGACAAAAAAGTTGAAAATCACATGATATCACTTATGTGTGGGATATAACCCTAAAAGCAACAAAGGATCAGGACAAACAGAGACTCATGGACATGGACTATAGACTAGCGGTTATCAGAGGGTAGGGTGGGGGAGGCAGGAGGAGGTAGATAAGGTAAAGGGGGTCAAATATAGGGTTTAGGGGAAGGGTGAACTGGATAAAGGAGATCAAATATATGTTAGCTGAAGAAAACTGGACTTTGGGTGGTAAACACACAATAGAATATACAGATGTCAAATGATAATGTACACCTGAAAATTATATAATTATATTAACCAATGTTACCCCAATAAACTTAATTAAAAATGGAAATAAAAAATAAATAAAATCAGAAATGAAAGAGGAGAAATAACTACAGATTCCACAGAAATATAATAAATCAATCATCAATCAATAAAATAATCTTGACAGAGAAAAGTACCAGAATATTGCTTTTTACTTTTTGCCTTGAATATTTTTTAGTAATAAAATTAATGCATAGTCATAAAAAAAAAAAATAGAAGACTATAAAAATGAAAAGTGAAGAGCTCTCCTCCTATACCCTTTCTCATATTTCCAAATTCCAGAGGTAACCAGTGTTTATTCATATGTCCTTTGAGGAATGTAATGTGTACATACACACAGTCATGCTAATGTCTTTTTATTTTTTTATTATGAAATATAATAAACACATAAAATAGTATATATATCTGTAAACTAAAAGTAATATAAAACAAACACCTGTGTATCTCTAGCCTAAGACACAGAACACTATTTTACTACAATTTCAAAAACTGAAAAAGATTCAGTTATGTTTATGTATACTAGCAATGAGTAACAGGAACATAAAAGTTAAGACAATAAATCCATTTACAGTAGAATCCAAATATTAACTGAATTGATGGCAAAGGAGCCTGAGGAAATTTGGGAGTGACAGAAATGCTCTTTATCTTGACTGTGGTGGTGGTTACATAGGTGTATACATTTGTCAAAATGCATTGACCTGTCGTACTTAAAAATGGGAGCATTTTATTGTATATACATTACACCTGAATAAAGTTGTTTAAGACTATGCTGTCTTTTTAATACAAGTGGGGTCATACAGATTCTCAAAGTTCTTTTTTTTCAGTTAATCTACACTAAATCTAAACTTTCCTTTATTCAACACAGAGATCTACTTCAGAAGATACTTTAATTTCAAACAAAATTAGTATAATAACTAACAAATTTTTTTTAAAAATCTCAAAACCCAACTTCTCTTACCAGAATCTTTACCTGAATCGGCCTGGGTCCCTTCCACATTTTGAGATACAGTTTCTTCAGCAGTGCTACAGCCATTAACATTTCCAAATGTAATCCGTGCATTTAAGACATGAAACAAGGGAATTTCTAACAAAATAAAAGCTTATATAAATACACTTTACTGAGAATAATAATAGCCACCATTAATAATTAACCGTGAGTGCTTACTATGCCAAATACTTTTTATAAATATGATTTCATTTCATCCTTATAACAACCCTTCCCAATATACAGATGGGGAAACAGATTCAGAGAGGTTGAGCAACTTTTCCTGATCTTAGTGAGAGCCAGGATTGAAGTGTCATGAATGTATGACTATCCAAAATGTAAATTCCTCTCAAGTAATATGCACTGTATATGGTATTATGTGTACTAGCTCAGGCCCATCAAAGGATCTTAGTGTCAATTATCTTCTTCAATTAACTACTGAATTTGGGGTTTCACTTAAGTTGTGTCTCATATTAAAATGATGAATATGTCACATTTTTTATGCATTTTTACATCTGTCAGCAACATCAATAAAACAGAACTAATGGTTGGGGAATCTCCTAATTTTGGTATGCAAAATGAACCGAGAATCATGACACTTTAAACCAAATTAATCTAGAGGATAATTCTGACTTCAATTACGTCTATTGTACGCTACTTTTACCTAAAGTGCTCCAATGCCCTAAAGCACATCTTGTCACCACAAAAAGGGCAGAACCTACAAGTGCTCCTGTGGTTCCCTTAACGGTACCTATTTTAACAGGAAATCCAGGTGGGAATTCTAGCTTGATGAAGTCTCTCAGTCTTGCAAAATGAGTGCTAGTTCTGGCCATCAGGTCAATGATGGGGATGACCTGCTCCACAAGAGAGAGAGGAAATTCTTCACACATCCACAGCGTTGCTTTAAACCTGCAGGATTTAACCAATACGAGACTGAGGGTACCTCCACCAGATGGGGAAACTGAATTCTATACAGTAAGCTACACAACACCAGCTTCCTTACTCCAGTCTTCCAGTTATCTTACATTTCATAATCTGAAGCTATGAAGAGACTAGGCCCAGGAAGAATTCAGATCACTCCAAAATCGGGCAATCAGGAAAATGACCTCCACTACAACCTCCTGCAAGAGCCTTAACTGACAGCAAGCATGAAGAAACTGCTAGCTGGTGAAATGGTGGAAACCATTTCACTTAATCAGCTGAAGCTTGTTGACAGTAAAATAAGGAATTCTTATATCCAATCTACCTTCCATCTGGAGAAAGGCTAATAAGATGGGCAATCTACTGTTAGCTTTTGTCAAATAAAGTAATTTAAAATTTTAAGAAAGAGGACAGAAGAATGAAGATGACACCATAAAATAGCACAATTCTGTAACAATCCATAAGCTGAAAATGACCACAAATCTCTTACTTTTGTGTTCTAATCGTCAGCTCTTTTGGCCTCCCGATGTCCCTGTCTCTCAGATCAAACTCTTCATTGAAGTATTCATCAGGAGTGATGGCTGTGGGGTTGTTTGCGGTGGCACATTCTGTGGTGGGGTCCTGCCGATCCAGAACTCAGGGGAATCAGAAATGACAAGTGATGCTCACAACTGGAGGCCTATGGCACTCAGTCTCTGAAGTGGACATGTTAACCAGCTACAGATCAGAAAGTTCTAGCCGTAACTTTTTTTTATTAAGTTACTGCACAGGATAAGAAAATCTACAAAGGTGTAAGTCTCATGGATTTCTCCATTTCAAAATATTTCTCCACTCTACTTTTTATTTTTATCTCCTGATTATAGAAAGGATAAGAGAGAGAAATATATGAACACATGTGAGATTTGGAAGACTTGGGGTTTAAGTTCCAGCTGTCACTCTCTAGTTTGTGACACTGGAAAAGTTATTTCATTTTTCTGACCCTCAGTGACATCCACTGTAGCAATTTCATATAGTTATTGTGAGGATCAAGGAAGAAAATATTTGTTAAGGTGCTCTGTTAAAATATAAAGTCCTAAATCTTCTTTATGTTCCATTTTTACAGAAATCCTAGTTCATAACAGGTAAGAGAGAAAGCAACTGATTAATCACAACCCTTCCTATAATATCTTTATTTTCAAAGACTTGTTTATCTAATTCTCTTCCAAGAGAGTATCTCAAATTCCCTCTTGGGAATACTCTTTAGCTTTTTCAAATAAGAGTAGCTTGTTCAGTAAATGCTATCCCAAGCATAGAAAAGTCATCTCCTTTCTTTAAACTGCTCTGAAAATGTTAGGTAGTTAGAAGGTCATGAGCAATAAGAGCGAAGGCCCAGTTCTGTAACCACAGAAACTCTCCCTTAAGGACCTCCCTGAAACACCCATTTTATGGTTATAAATTACCCCTACATCCTAAGGCACAAAGGCCATAAAAGCTAACATGTTTGCACACAAGTACTACCCTAACCTGCCCTTAACCTCAGCCTTATTATATCATCATTATGTTATGCCTATGTCCAGAAGTTCATGAATCTAATAATAACACTGAATTTTGGGTAAGTGCATGCTCAATAGGGCAAAGGGTTATATAATAGCCAACTGTCAATCAAAATGACTTCATATGCCTATCATCCAGCACCACCCTAGTAACCTCCCATCACAGCCCAAATATAAACAGACCTTCCCACTTCTACGCTGTTACAGCCCTCTTCACTGTAACCCACATCTCCCTGGGGGCATACTCTTATCTTTTGTCTTTTTACCTCCTGAATTCCATAGGGCTGCAGGCTTCCTTGTGTGGCCCATCTCCTTCTAAAAATGTACTTTCAACAAATCTTACTTTTTCTAAATCTCACTGACCTGTAATTTTTTATTGAGTTGGCGGGGAGGAACCAAGGACCCTCACCATGCCACTGGGGCAACGGTGGATTTCACATCACCCTGTGTGGTAACAAAAGCTCATTGCTTCAACTTACCCTTTGAGCACCAAACTGGTGTTCCACAGTTCCCAGCAGAGATTCCAGTGGGTTCCTGTCCGCTACAGAGTGGGGAAAAGTTTAATTCCTGATATCATACTTTATTTTTGACTATAGAAAAAGATTCTCATCATATTTTAAATTTTCTGATCCAAGCTACCTCCAATAGGAAATCCATTTATGGACGGGCTGATGCCAAAATCACCCACAATAAGCATCAGCTAATTTATCCCTTGTAGGACACTTTTTATTAGGCTCTCTAAACTAGATGAACAGCAGTTACAAGAATTAAAGCAGAATAGAAGAAAGAGCTTGGATTCGGGAATGAGCCAGATCTGGATTCCAATTCTCACATTGGCTGGTCACTGCCCATGTGGGCCTCAGTTTCCTTATCTGTCACCTGTAGGCACTGCTCCAAAGGTTTACATGTAGTAACTTATCTAATCCTCCCAATAACTCTAAGGAAGGTCTGGGAGCACGTCTATTTCACTTTGGAGGAAACTAAGGCACAGCGGGTAGGTAACCTCACAAGGCCACAGAACTGGCCAGTGAAGGAGTTGGGATATGGCAACCATGTACTGGCAACATTTTGGCTCAGAGCCCAAGTTCTGTTCAAATCTTTCATCACAATAGTTTGGACAAAATCATTCATTTCAGTAATAAATATTCTCCAACATCCTTATCTATCTTTTCAGTCAAATTCAACAATTGTTCTTCTAACACATAAACAAGCCCTCATGAATGGCTTTCAGCACAGCTAAAGCCAACTATCTCCAAGAATGAGTCAGACTAAGAAAATATAAAAATGAAGTCCGGGTTAGGATTAGCACCACTCCATCCTATTAACCCCCAAACTCAACAAAACCAACAAAAGTTCCCTCCAGGCTTAAAAAAGGGAGTGGAGGAAGAATTACCTTTATATCTCCTTTTTTCTTCCTCGGTTAGATGTTCTGTCCGGATTTTGGTTATCACACTCACATTGTTTACTGTGTAAACCTTGAGAAACGTGTGCAAGAGAAAACAGTGACACAGGGAATCAAAACTCAAAAAATAAGCATAGCAAAAGCAAGAATGCTGAAGCCAAAAAAAAAAAAAAATCCAGCAAAATAAAAAATGAGAAATGGTTAACAATCATTAGGATCCTTCAGAGAAAATATACTAGCGATCAGCTTAGAAATGCATCAGCAGTCACTCTGCATCTCTGAGAGTTTTACATACTGAGGAGTTAACAGTGACAGGCTGCATCTTCCTAATTGCCCTTCTTGTTGCTAAACACTCTCAAAGAATGTCCTCCCCGCTGGATTTCTATTTTGCTAAGGCACCCAAACCTTCCTCGAGTACTGCTATTGATCTGTGGTCATCTTATAATAGGACTGACTTAGACAGCCATCTGCTGGACAGAAGGAAACAGAAATGAACACTAGGTTCTCTACACAGATTATACAGACAACCAGCAAGTCACTATTTAAAAGGTATGCCATATATTGACAAAAATTATTTTAACTGCTAAAGTAGATGCTCTGTTATCAAGGTTGACTGGAGACTATGGGGGTCTGAAAAATCAAATATCTTGGTTGACACAGAATTAACTGTATCTGCCATACATGGTTCAGGCAACACACACAGCAGTGGAACTACTGTTACTAAATGTACCTTGCTGAGGATGATGTAAGCTTTCTCTGCTAGCTCAGAGGTCACCAGAAGATTCTGCAGTGCCTGGCTCCAGCACCATGAGCCATCAATCCCCACTATACTGCAGGGCCAAGGAAAGGCCAGGAAACAGATTTCCAGTGGACAATGCCAGCTGTCATCTCCACTATAACAACTATGTTCTAAATTCACTGATTTCACGTAAGTGGGCTGTAAGCCTACCAGTTACTATTAGGCTAACTTAAAAAAAATGGAGACTCATAAAAGCTCCTTTATGATTTTTTAAACTCGAGTTATAAAAAAATATGAATCAGCATATTAAGTCTAATCCTTTCTCTTTCCTTTTTTCTTTTTTTTTTTTTAAAGAATTAAGGAATTACCATTTCTACCAGGACAGCTGGTACCTGTACTCATTTCTCTACACATTGCTTTTCTTTGGCATAACTAGAGACCTCCTCAGGACATGCTATCCCATTTTCTGAAAGTCAAATAAGATAAAAATCCAAGTGAGAGACACCCTAGACAGTACTTAGTCCCCAGAGCATCTCCATGGCACAGATGCATGAAAAAAATATCTGAACAGACTCCTCATTTGCATAGAAGCTACATAGCTATATTAAATCTTATTTTAAGAGTTTCCTTTTACCTTTGCTTCGTAACCATTAACAACTTCTGCTTTATCTGTCCTCCAGCCCCAGAATCCGGATTTAGTTCTGATAAAAAGTGAACACCACAAATTTCTACATGTACAATATGCCATTCAGATTTATCCCTGCAGCCTTTATAGTTTTTTCCCCCAGCTTAAGTTAGTGAAGGACACTTGGAAATTATGGTCTGATTGTCCACAAAAGGATGTTATCAATGATAGATGGCTTAAGCATCCCCCTGCCCCCTCCCACAGTTATTAATCAATTTGCCTCACCCCTGGCAAAGAAAGTCTGCATTCTTGGCTTCTTTACAAAAACTGCCAGCATAGGTGACAAAGATGGTGACATTTATTGGACAGCTGTCCTAAAAAAGTGAGTGAAGATGACCAGTGTCCAAGGGCTCACCACAAGGTGGCACCTGGGTCAGAGCATTTATCTGGGTCACCTTAACTATGAGCACAGATAACAGCAGCTCTGTTCCCAAGTGGCTGGATCTCGATCGGGGAATTCTTAGAACAAGGAGGCACAGACCATCCTGCTCTTAGGAAGAGAGTAGGTGGGGCAAGAACTCATCACTGGGGTGAGCTGCTTGGAGAAGCCATTAATGCCTGCAAAATGCCTTGGGAGTCACGCATTTTATTAGGTTTGGTGCAGCAGGAGGAAAGGATGTTAAAAGCAGTTCTTCAGCCCAGCCGTTGATCCCAGCTCTGTGGAATTGCTTTTAAATTAGCCCAGCATTCCAGCAGCAGCTGCATCATTGGTAAAGTGCCCAAAAACCCAGTTATTCCACTCAACACGCTACTGGAAAAAATTTATTTAGGAACCAAGACCAACCAAGACGCTCTGATTCTTTTTCAAAGCAGCTCACCCTGGGAAATGCTACCACTCACAGGGGAGCCCTGACCAGAATGCCCCTTTGTCTAGGACATCACATCCTAGCTCCACTGTGACTGCCGCACTTGGCCCTGTATAGGGCAACTGTCTGCCTTCTGCTCTGACCCTGGAATGAAGTCAAACATCACGCAGGAAGCTCCAGGAATAGTGGCAGGTTAGCCAAGTCACAAAGAAGGTATGCAATTATTTGCATATTGTGTTTCCAGTTTGCTTTTCTTCTAATGGGATTTGGTAAATGAAATTAGGTCGGATGAGGTATAGGAGTTTTATGTGTGTATTATAGCCCTTTAGAGAAAGGAGGGACCAGAGCTTTCATTTTCCTATTAGTTATCCAATGAATGCGCCATGACCCACAGAGGGAAAGAAAGGAATCCTAAAGGATTACACAAACTGCTGGCTATCTCCAACTACCATTTCAGAAACAAAATAATCCTGTGATGCAGGGGGCTAGGAACCACACTCAACTAATTAAAAAACCAGAGTCCCCTTTTAGTCATCAATAATTGAAAATTGAGATACTCCTTTTGGTTCACAAATTCAATCCTCAGTTCCTTGTCTTTCACTAAGTCACTTGATATTTCAGCATGGGAAATAATCCTTTTCTGGCACACAGTCATCCAAGGTACCAAAAGATCACTAGGTCTGCTCCACTTTATCTTTCACGTGTGCTAAGAAAACAGGGCTGCACTCTTCTCCCTGGGAACCTCCAAGCTCCTCACTCACCTCCACCTGTTCACTCACCTCTACTTGTTCTACCGGCAATCCTGGCTGTTCCACTCTCTTTTCCATTCCCATTCTCTGACAGTTTAGATTTTTGGTGTTTTCGTTTTGTTTTTTGTTTTGAAAATTAAAGAATTTATTTTGGAAGCTCTTCAATAATGATGCGAGACACTAAATTCCATGCAGTAGAGGCATCTCCTCAGGAGTAATCTGAACAATTACCAACCCAGATAGCAATATCCACTAGTCTGGCACCAATTCCTTCACAAAGTCCCTCCACTACCCTGCCATCTTGACTGAATGTCCTCTGACAGTTTAATTATTAAACTCAATGTCTACATCCTAGTTAATAACTCCTTGGCCTTGATTAACTTTACATGCTGAAGCATCTGAAGATGCTAGAATAACCAGTTTCCCTCTGTCTATCTCCACTGAGACTACCACACCAAAGGCCACTTAGCAGGCACTATGGCTTGGAGGCTGCTACACAACTTGGAGAAAGGCTCTGATGATAGCAGGGAATGTTTTGTTTAAGGTAGGCAGAGCATATTTCAGAGAAGAGAAAAATCCAAACTGCAACCAGAGGGTATATATTAGCAGACCAAAAAGTCATGCCAGAAGGTATTAACTTGCAAGCATCAAGCCCCAAGTAACAGATGAGAAGAAAGAAATGGATAAAAAATAACTAATATGAAAGAGTCACATCTTCCAAATACAATCTCATGAACACACACACTTCCCGTAAGCAGTAGGTACGCACACTCTTTTACCAGCAAACCGCACACTCAACAGTGGCTCAAATCCTTACTCAATGTACAAGAAACTCACTAATCACATAATTTAATCCTGAGCACCACAAAATCAAACAACTGTCTTCCAGAAATTCTCTCTGAGCAACCCACTATCAGTTGCAGAAGGAGGGTTAGCTTGAACCATCTGAAAACCCTGTGATAATACAAATTCGAAATGTGACTTAGTCCTCAGGACAAATGGAATGTGCCACCATTTCCCATGTACACTGAGTGGGTAACAGCCAGTAACCATCACACTCTTTGTAAATTACATTTAAGAACAATGACTAGCAACTCTGCTGATGAACTAAAGGGAACAGCGGCTCTTCTGATGACATCTTAGAACTGTGGACTTAAGAGACTTCATCTCTAGATTCACTTTGTTTTGTTTTCTTTCAGCTGAGGAAACAGAAACTCTGATAGATTAAGCCACTTGCCCAAAGCCGCACAGTTAGATAGCAGCCCTGCTGATGATGTTCATTTCTTCTAACTGTTGTTGCTATGGCTGGGCTGCGGCAGTGAGGGCAGGCTCTTCCACCTTACAGCTTTGCAAACTAAGCCCTAAGCTGAAGTGCCCTCCTTATCTGCAGAGGCATATGATTAAGCCTCAATACGTCTTCCCAAGACCTTTCCAGGTAAAGCCAGTCAGTCCCTCAGCCTCCCTGGAAGACAGTAGCTGGCACAAGGCAAGGCCAGCGCGAGGAGGGTGGAGATGGGGCACTGACCCTGCCTCAGGATGGTGCCAATACCAAAGCAGTAGCACACCTGATGTTCTGGGTTTCTCTTCTGCTACAAACAAATATCCTAATTCCACAGCTCGATCTAAATTAGAAGAAAAGGACACTTAACAAGTCTTATGTTTGACTCAGTAGAAAACACGGTTTTATTAATAAATATTATATTGGAACCAAAGAAAAGAAAAAGGAAAAAAGAGGACAGTTAGTATATTTATCAAGAGAAAAGAAAGTCTAAATCCAGGATAGTATTGTCCATGTTAGCTCACGTTATGCAACTTTGGTTTACAGAGAGCTGGAATGTGACATCCTAGGCAAACACTCAGGGCTCTTACAGATTCCCTGGGCTCCATGTGTTCTATAATAGAAACACTTAGGCTAACAGCCATGACAACCTCTACTTCCCTCGCAAAGGCTCTACACACCTCTGCACAGCCCACAGGCAGATGACCAGAGACAAGGCAGATGATCAGAGACAGTGCCCTCATTTGGGTTAACCGAGACACAGACCTCTCCAGAGGTTTCTTCAGGTAGAGTCTGGAATAGAACCACTCCAGACTCTTGCTCTAAACTATTAGAGAATCACATTTAACTATAAGATAAGTATCAATTTGACTAACATCACATTCAATACTGGATCAGTTCTAGCTTCTGGAAACTAAAACTTCATGGTTTGGGACTAGGGAGTCTTATAGATCCCCAAACACCAAAACAAAAAGAAAATTCAAGTAAAGTCCATTAGAAAGGGCCCATGAAGAATATAAAGATATTTCTCCAAGACTTAACCAATGTGCTACAAAAATGATATATGATGGAGGATATCAGCTATGGTTTCTATTTGGTTAGAGCAGAGATCAAGTTTAAAACCCACTGGTGCTTAAATTGCCATGTTAGGAAAATCCCAATCCACCCATAATTTCCAAACAATATATACACGCCACTAAAGAAGGCAGCAAAGGAACAAGACATTGAAATGCCAAACCTAAATTTGTACCTTTCAAAAGCAATACTTTTAGTATCAAGGCTGGTGTTAATGACTGGGCTTGTGAGCCGCCTCTCAATCTCCCTGCCTGTTGGCTTCATCAAGTCCAGAGTGAGGCGTTCCATTTCCTGGGAAAGATCAAAGTGTTCAGTGGTGACCACTTTATCATCATGGTTGACTTCCATCAGCTCCGCCCAGTTGTCTGTTAATGGAACCAAGGGTGTAAGTAAGCACAATGGTAGGAAGATGCAAAAAGAAGAAAGCCTCATGTGTTAAAATGCATCACCTTTCCAATCACCCCTCCCACCAAGTGCCATCTGATAAAACCTAAAGACTATTGATTATCGATTACCTAGTTTGCACAGGAATTATCTAGCCAGCTTTTCACAACTCATAGTTTCTGGGCCATCTTCCCCAAAGACGCAGACAATTAAAATAATTAGCATTTTTTGTTAGCGGCATATTTATTTATGTACTTTTTAAAATACATAATTACATAATATAAAGTATTTGTGCAAAACACTGGGTAAGCCATGCCATTTCACACCCTCCATTAAAAGGGTCATGCCTGATTATGGAGGGAATATAGATACAAGACAGAGTCTTGTACTCAAAGGCTCTGGAACATGAGACAAACACAGGTCAAGAGGGTAAGTGTTGAGTGGTAAATGATACATACAAAAGAACTATGTAGACAAATAAGATAGGATTGAGAGGTGAATAATTAATAAGAATAACCAAAAAATGCCCCAGAAAGGATCAGATAAGACACGTGAATGTGAACACGTTTTGATGGTTCAAAGTCACTCTGTAACTGAGCATGAGCAGTGATTACTGCAACAGAATCACTCACCTTCTCCCTTAAATATAAAACTACGCCTCCCTCTTATCCAGCTCATGTTCTCAAATCCCAGCAACGTAATATCAACACGCAGTTTGGCACCACTTTTCCAAATGCGACAGACATCATTCGGGCATATTCTGGAAACCAAGGGCACTGGAGAAGAGAAGCGCACTACTGAGAAAAACCCAAGGGCCAAGCGGAACATCCAGGTCCCAGAAATCGGGATTCTGACTTTAATGAAAGGAAAAGAGTGGCAAAATGGTGACCATCATGTAGAACTGGATTTGGCTCCCACACTTTGACACAGGAATCAGTCTTAAAAATAAAAATGGACCTTCTGTGCTATAGCTCTTTATAAAAGTGCAGATCTATGTCTTGTCCAGAGAAAACGCTAAATGAATTTCCTAAGAATATTCTCAATCCCAAAATGAACCCCTATCATTGAATGCCATCAGGGCTGGAATGTGTCCATCTGGCCTTTCTCATTCACAAATGCTACTTCTCCATATGGCCGCAGCCTACCATATTGTCACATTCACCATTCGAAATATCAAATGTCTAAAATGTGCTCCTTTTTAACAAAATCTGAAATCAGATTATCTGCATTATAAAAAAAAACTCATCAGTTTCACAGAAGAATCTGAAGTGATCTTATGTACTTTTTACTTCATTTAAGTGTTTCATTACAAATATAACTTCTTGCCTGAAAGGGAAGTCTAGAAGTGAAAATGGCTGAAAATTCAAGAGCTGTCGTTAACTGATCTACAAGAAATAAAAGCAGAACATCTATGAAAATTACTGTCAGTCAGTTTGCCTTTTATAAGATTTTGGAAAAATACATCTATTTTTTAAAAAACAAGCTATTCCAATATTTATCTCACCTTCCTTAGAATAAGGAATCAAGTCGAACCACATTAGAAAATGAGTAACTAAATTATGGGAAATCTACTTACTAAAAGATTAGCCTTTTAAAAACAAATAATATGGATAAATCCCAGCTATAAGTGACAAAAGAAAAAAAACTGTCCATATGTTATATTTATAGATGCTTGGAGGGAAAAGTCATATGTGTGAGGGAAAAGATGGTAGCTGTGTTTAAGTAGGGTCACAGGTGACTATTTTTCCTCACTCTTACCTATGTATTTCCTAGATTAAAAACACATGAAACTTTTATAAAGAACAAATAAACCTATATTCAAGCTAACTAAATTTGAAAAAGAAACAAATTACAAGCCCACAGCTACTCACCCCAGCTGGTGAATTCCCATTTCATCTGCACATAGAAATCTGGAGTCTGAGGGACAAAGGTTTAAAAGAAATTACTCTTGGCATTATTAACTAAACACAAACATAGGACGGGTTAATAGGGCTTTTTTTAAAGCAGAGGCAAGGGAGAGTACAGAGAAAATGAAAAGAAACAAATTGCAAACTCGCTGAAATAAACGCTTATTTTATATTCAGGGTGTTATTTGATCTTGATATGAAATGTCTAGACAGTTAATAAAGTTAACTGAAAGCAACAAGGTTGGAGGGGGATAAAAGTCAAATCTAATTTAGGGGCTCGATCAGGTTCTTAACAGTAACAGAGAGATGAGCCTGGGAGGATGGGCTTAAGTACTGCCACACGATGTGCGTAACAGGCTGTTCTAAGCAAAGAGAAAAGAATGTCAATCTCATCTATTCCACGGGGAACTTGACTGTAAAAGGCTTTGTGTTCTGGGAAAGTGCTTCATATTTATGAGACCACTCTGTGAAACCAAAAGAGGCAGCTAGACATCACTTCCCCAAAAAGTTGATATTTCCTTCCCCTAACAGAAGACTTTTGCCCCGACTTTCCTCTTAAACTTCTAGAATTTGGCCTTATAACGTTTTACTGATCTAGTAATAAAATAAATCTAGAAATAAAAGTAGAACATCTAGGAAAGTTACTGTCAGTCAATTTGCCTTACATAAGATTTTGGAAGAAATCTATTTAAGATGATTTTCTGACCCACAATGAATTCTTATAGAGGGTTCTTGGAGAGCTACTTAATTTCTTAAGTGCCATCTTACTTAATTTCAAGTAACCATCCAAGAAGAGACATAAAAGAAATTCCAGGTGTTTTTCTGTTCCCTCCCACCTCCAAGGCTTTGCCATGGTTTTTACAGAAGCACAGGGCAGGAAGACCAAGAGTCTACCCTGGAGTAAAACCAGCTAGGATTCCAATGATAAGCGAAGACACTCTCCAAGGTCAGTGGATAAGGCAGGCATGATATAAGGAAACAAAATGTCAACAACTGCCTCTGGTGCCACTAAGCACACAGATCAACTACGGGCGGCTTATAACTTCAAGCAGAGAATACAATTCAATGCAGTTCATTGTTATGACTCAATACAGGTAAAAAGAAAGAAAATCCCTTACATTGAATTTTTTAAATGAGGGGTGACTCCACGTTAAGTAAGTCATTTTGTTTTTTGTTCCTCCTGCAGGAGGTTAGATAAGAGAACAATAAATCCATGAGATTGTTGTACACTTAAACACACACCTATTTCAAAAACAATGCATGTAACTACTTCACATGACATGGAAGGTTTCTTTGTAGTACATGGAAAATTAATATATTATGCAGGATTTAGCTTGAGTGTCATAGAAATAATTTTTTAAAAAGAGTACTCAGATAACAAGCAGTGATTGTCTTACTTCCAGTAAAATTGTTCCTTTGCACAACAGAACTGTTCATTTTTCTCAAGAAATGTATTTTGACTAAAATTGTAAAGCCAATTTATCTACCAAATACCTTTGGAGCTATTTGGGGAGCTCACTTCTGGGCTTAAATTGAGGATAAATGACATTAAAATTGAATCACTGGTACTTTCTCATCTCCTACCCTGGGAATATTGCACATGGTTGACCAATCAGACAATTTTTGCAGGTAACAGAGATTATCTGAAGAATGGCAACCTAAAAATAAAACTTTTTAAGAAAGTTCCCTAAGTGTCACAGAGCCCATATACTTTAATTCACAAGAGAGATAAAATGCCCAAAAGCCAAAAATTGTCAATAAATTAAAGCAATAGATTAATTAAGGAGTGGCAAGGAGAAGTTGCACACAGACCTCTTAACTTCAACAGACCCTGAAAATCCCTGTCCAGTAACTGATGCCCATTATAAGCTCCCTAAGATGACCTATGCTCAGGAGGCTACTCTTAAGAAATCAGGCACCTAGACAAGTTAATTGTTTGTTGTCCATTTGTTTTAGTTCTAGTTTTTAAATAGCCCTTAAAAGAGTAAGTCTAGTGTCCTAGAAACATAATTTGTGAAAGACCTCAGACATTTAATAAGTTGGAAAGGTAAGAAATAATGCTATTTAGTATTCAACATATCATAGTCATGATTCAGAAAACTCTTCAGGGAAGCACACAAGAATGTCAAACTGTGCTTCCAGTTATCGTGTCAGCATTTAACTCGAATGATGGCAACACCACATTTGTAGATACCTCGAGAATTTTTTGGAGCAGCTCAGGGACTCCTTCAAGGGCCATGGATGTGTTGTGGTAGTCTCGATGTTGAAGAACTACGTATACCATTTCGGGGTCGCCGGTGCTCACAGCCTCATGTAAAACTAGAAAACAAAAAGGTGAAATTTAATCACCTCTTATTCTCACACTTTCTGACAAATTCCAAAGCCAGTCTGAAAAATGTCTCTATAAATCAAAGACCAACATTTTCTTCCCAGAGGGAGAAAGGCTGCAGTCACATGGTCTCGTTTCTGACCATGACGTCTTATTGCTAGTTCTTAAATGAGTGAAAAGAAGAAAATAGAGCACTCCTACTCTCTTGGTCAAAACCCTTCCACCCTTCCTTTATCCCCCTTTCTTACCATTGGTTCTGAAATCCTGACAATGTCTTCAAGAAGCTGGCTTTAACTATGTGACCACACGACTGCGGTTACATGCAGACTGCGCAGGCAGGGCTCATGCTTGTGCATATCCCAGTTCAGTCAACACAAAATTACTCTGAATAATAAGAGAGCTTGCCAAAAAAGTGAAATGCCAAGATTTCACTGGGAAGGTCACTTTTAGCCATAATTTCTTTTTGATTTTGCCTATCCTGATGGGTTCACTGGCGTTAGCATCCCATTCCTCAGGAAATCTGGCCTCTACCCTTGTGTGTGGTGGAAAGAGTTTGGACTGAGAGATGCTTTCTAGATGAGGAGTCACTCTCTACCTAGGGCTTTTGGCCCAGGAAACAATTTGGGCCATTGTGCTGCAAATCAGCCAGCAGCATCCAAGGCGCTCTCTCTTTATCCTGGCTCCTAGTTCCAAGAGAGAAAGAGTCTTAAGATAAAGATAACAATGATGATTGAGACGGGCCTTTATTCAGAAAGAGAAACCAAAATAAAAGTCTTTAAATAATTTTTATGAGTATACTTGCCTGTCCATCCATCGCGGTTTTCTTTTGTAACATCTGCTTTATGCCGGAGCAAGACTCTAGCAGATTCCAAATGTCCCAAAGACACAGCAAGATGCAATAAGGTTCGACCTCGTGGATCCAGAGCCTCTACATTCTGTAAAGTAAACACTGGCATTTATATAATTGGGAATATTATATAAAAATGTGGCAATGTGTTTGAGAGAATATAAATATAAAAACAGAAAACAGTATTTACACATTAATTACAGCAATATATGGAAAAATGAATACTTGCATGTGGGCACAGTTGGAATATGAATTTGGGGGCTATAAACAAAGATGATAGTTACTGAGCTCCTCTTTCTATAAAATTAAGTGTCTAATGCTTGCGATAGACCTCAGAGCATCAAACATAACCTTAAGTTCTCAACTACACTCAAATTAAGTCTAAACAAGGCTAGGGGCTTTCACAAAATGCAACTACCCCATGGCACGGAATGTGAGGGATTTCTTAAGCGCAAATCAGCATTCAGGTCTAGAACGGGAAACTCAAGCCTCTAATCAAACCTGAAAATACAGAAGGTAATTTGGATCAGAATAAAATTACATTCTCTAGCTGGATTTCCAGTGAAACACCACTCTCGTTATTGTGTTTTGAGTTCCAAGTAGCCAGGAGTAGCAGCATGGCGGTCCTACCAGACAATGAGAATGATCCGCCAGGTGTGCATGTGGACATATTTATCGATAAACGTAATAACATGCACCCACCATCAGTCCATTCCCCCTCAAGGGTTTTCTTTCCCATGCTGGACATTCCCATTTAGCTTTTCTTCTTCATTCCTATTCTGGCTCTCCTTCTGGCACCTGCATTGGGTCTCCAGAGCCAAGTGCCTATTTCTTTGGTGTGAGCTCAGTCTGAATGGCTGATGCCTGCCTTCCAAAGATGGCTCCGAACATTCTTCCAAGGATGCAGAAAACTGCCATGGGACTTCTGGAATGTAAAAACTTTAAGTGCCATAGTACTTCTTAGAAAATGTGTTTTGTCTTGATTTGAGATGCTAGTTGTGCAGGTACTAACTGCAGCCTCCAAATATATCCAGAATGTTCCACTTATTGGCCACAGGGAAGAAAAGTAAATAGGACTGTCCAACAGTTATTGAATCTCCCTGTTTGCTAAGTGTATCATGTCTATTGTGCAGTGAAGACAAGAATGCCATTGAGGAATAATAGAGGTGGTTGAAAATATTCTGCTAAGTGAATACACATCCTCCTGGACCAATCCTAGTTCTCAGTGTTCTCTCAAGTGCTGAAATACCAACATATCTCCTCAAACAGGGCCCACACTACTTCCCAGGATTCCCTGACTTTTCCCAAGGGTATGGCGTGTCTATTTCACCAAAGAGATTGAGAATTTCAAAGAGTAGGATCCAGGTCTTATATTTCCTGGCTTTTGCCAACCTAGTCTCTAATTTGCATTAAATCATTGTTTTGTATTTTTTTTATGTAATTTGGCGAAAAACTATGAACTTAGTTGAATTTTAGTAAGAAAGACATAATTAGCAAATTTATTATCTTCTTATAAATCTGTTATATAAACTGTTTTCTTACCTAACAAGTTCAATCTACATGAAAGGTGTTAGGTTTAGCACACAGCCTAAAATACAGGAGATGCTTAACAATATTTATCACACAAAAGGGGAAACTACTTATTGCAATTCACACCCCAGAACAAAACTAACATCTCAGACTAAGGATTAACTCTCAAGCTCCAGAGTGACCATATAAAACCAATGCCAAATACATTAAATTGTTGACTTTCTTCTATTTTGGACTACAGGGAAAACTATACATATGAGCCATAGCAGCATACTTTGCATGGCTAATTATAACTCTTCTGAGCCTCCTGTACCTCTCTTTCTCATTTGAGAGGCAAGAAGGGATGTTATGATACGTACGGTATGGTAACAATGTGATTAAAAACAATGGATGAATAAAGATTAGAGTGGAAGTTAGTGAGACAGAGGATATAAAAACCAGCAAAACCAGAAGTTGGTTCTTGGAAAATATCAACAAAATTGACAAACTTTCAGCTTGATTGACCAAGAAAAAAAAGTGAGAAGATTCAAATTACTAAAATCAGAAATTTCCAGAACGGTGAGAAATAGATTCCCATTGTTTATAAACTACCCAGTGTGTTGTATTTTGTTACAGCAGCCCAAACAGACTAAGACAATGCAAAAAAGCATTTAACAAAATCCAACACCTCTTCACGATAAAAAAAATAAAAATAAAAAAAAATAAACAAACCAGAAATAGAAAAGAGGTTCCTCAAAGAGCATCCATCTATGAAAAAAACCACAGCTAACATCGTACCTAATGATGAAAGACTAGATGCTCTCCCCTTAAGGTAAGGAACAAGACAAGGATGTTCTCTTTTGTCATTTCTGTCAAACATTGAACTAAAGGTTTTAACCAGAGTAATAAGGCAAGAAAAAGAAATAAAAGGCATCCAAATTGAAAATGAAGAAGTAAAACTCTCTTTATTCACAGACAACAACACCATCTCAAATATAGAAAATCCTAAAGATGTTTAAAAACTTTTAGAACTAATAAAAGAGTTCAGCGAGGTTGCAGGATACAAGATCAACATTCAAAAATCAACTGTATTTCTATACACTTGTAACAAACAACTCAAAAATGAAATTTAAAAAATAATTCCATTTACAATAGCATCAAAAAGAATAAAACATTTAGGAATAAATTTAAAAAAGACATACAAAACTTAGAGTCTGAAAATTATAAAGCACAAAACTTATAGTCTGAAAATAATAAAGATCTAAATAAATGAAAAAACATTCCATGTTCATTCATGGTTCAAAGACTTAATATAAAGATGTCAATACTCTCCAAACTGAGGTGCAGAGTCAAAGCGATCCCTATCAAAATTTCAGCTGGCTTTTTGCAGAAACTGACAAGCTGATCCTAAAATTCATAAGGAAATGGAAGGAATCCAGAAGAGCCAAAACCATCTGGAAAAGATGAATAAAGTTTGAGGACTCACACTTTCCAATTTCAAAACTTACAACACAAAGCTATAGCAAACAAAACAATGTGGTACTGGCATAAGGAAAGACAAATAAATTAATGGAATACAATTTAGAGTCCAGAAATAAACTTACGCATTTCTGGTCAACTGATTTTTAACAAGGTGCCATAATAATTAAATGGGAAAAAATATTTTCAACAAATGATGCTTGAACAACTGGATATCCACATGCAAAGAATGACGTTTTACATATACCCTACATGAATATTAGCTCAAAACTGACCATAAACCCAAATGTAACAGCTGAAACAAAAAAAACTCTTGTAAGAAAACATAAGAAACATAGGCAGTAAACTCTGATATTGCTAACAGTAATTTCTTTTCAGATATATCTCCTCAGGCAAGGGAAACAAAAGAAAAAACAAACAAATGGGACTACGTCAAACTAAAAAGGTTTTGTACAGCAAAGGAAACCATCAACAAAACAAAAAGACAATCGACTGAATGATATTCGCTTATGATACATCTGATAAAAAGTTAATACTCAAAATATATAAAGAACTCATACAACTCAACAACAAAAAAAAACAAAAAATCCAATTAAAAAATGGGTGGAAGACCTGAACAGACATTTCTCCAAAGAGGAAATACAGATGGCCAAGAGACATATGAAAAGATGCTCAATGTCACTACTCATCAGAGAAATGCAAATTAAAACCACAATGAGATAGCACTTCATACCTGTTGAAATGGCTATCACCAATAAATCAACAAACAACACGTGTTGACAAGGATCTGGAGAAAAGGGAAGTCTTGTGTACTGTTGGTAGGATTGCAAATTGGTACAGCCACTATGGAAAACAGAAGCAGACTCATAGACACAGAGAACAAACTGATGGTTGCCATATGGGAGGGGGATTAGAGGGTTGGGTGAAAAAAATTAAGAGATTAAGAAGTACAAATTGGTAGTTACAAAACAGTCAAGAAGAAATAGTCAATAGGAAATTACTCAGCCATTAAAAAAAATGAAATCCTACCATTTGCAACAACATGGATGGACCTAGAGGTTATTAAGCTGAGTGAAATAAGTCAGACAGAGAAAGATAAATACTACATTATTTCACTTATATGTACAATCTAGGAACAAAAAGAACAAAGTAATCAAAAATAGACTCACAAATATATAGAGGAAAATTTGGTGACAGTCAGAGAGAAGGGGTTGTGGGACTGGGAGAAAAGGGTGAAAGTTTAAAGAAAAAAACAGGGGTACACCATTGTGACCTTCAGTTAGGCAAAGCCTTCTCAGATATAACACCAAAAGCATAAGAGATAAAAGAAAAAAACAGAAAAACTGCACTTCATCAAATTTGAAAATATTTGTACTTCAAATTATATCATAAAGAAAGAAAAAGACAACCCACAGAATTAGGAGAAAATATCAGCAAGCCATATATGTGATATGGGGCTGATATGCAGAATACATAAAGAACTACTCTGGAATAAAAAGACAACCCAATTAAAATGAGCAAAGGATTTGAATAGATGTTTTTTTCAAAGAAAATATGCAAATCACCAATAAACACATAAAAAGATGCTCAATATCACTAATCATTAGGGAAATGCAAACCAAAACCACAATGAAATACCACTTCATACCCATTAGAATGGCTACAATCAGAAGGCAGACAATAACAAGTGTTGATAAGGACATAGAGAAACTGGAACTCTCATACACTGGTGGCGAGAATGTAAATGGTACAACCAATTTGAAAAAAGTTGGCAGCTCCTCAAAAAGTTAAACGTAAAGAGACCAAATAACCCAGCAATTCCTCTCATAGGTATTTACCGAAAGAAATAAACATACAAAAACTTGCACACAAATGTGCATAGCAACATTATTTATAAGAGCCAAAAATTGGGCGGGCCGGGGAATGTCCGTTAACTGGTAAAGAGATAAACAAAATGTGATACATATACAATGAAATATTTATTATTTAGCCATAAAAAGGAATAAAATACTGATAGATGCCACAATATGAATGAACCTCAAAAACATCATGTTAGATTAAAGAAGCCAGATACAAAAGGCCACATATTGTACAATACCA